CAAATAACTTTTTTAGGTTTCAAGTGTTAGTGTGAGTTACAAGAAAAAAGTTTTTTTATAATTTAATCGATAAGATAAAGTTTTAAAATTTTTTATTTCTGTTGATTATTTTAAAAAAAAATTTTATTTATACGAATTACTTTTAATTATATAATAATAATAAAGTTGAAATTTCGTTATGTAACTAGGAACTATCTCCAAAAATCCAAAATTTGATTGGTGTGTAATGAATGTTACATCCGGATATTTGCGGGCACTGGATTTTTTCAACACTGAGTTTATATAAAATTTTCTTATCAACAAAATGGAAAATAATAAATTAGAAACTCCTTTTAGAGCATGTACTCACACTAACACTTGAAACCTAAAAAAGTTATTTGTTGTTTATCGACGTAGTGGTTGTTAAACGGTGAATTCTTTTAAATTTGCAGTAAATCGTGCGAATTAAAGTTCTTGATGAGGAAAAAAAGATAAATAATAATAATGCAAATTTACTAATATTAATGTAATTAAATTTTGGGTGGGGTGTTTGAATACAAAATTCTGATTAGCTAATTTGAATTTCACGCGCGTGAATTTCAAATTGACAACAATAATAAGGCAAAAATAGTAAAATAAATTTTTACGATTTTTATGAAAATAATTTAATTTTTAATTTATTTCTTGGCAAAAGTACAAATTAAAAATAAAATCATAATCTTCTAGATTCATTCGTTTGTTTGTTTGTTTGTTTGTTTGTTTGTTTATTCATACAACAATTTCTTTTGCGTGCTAGAACTCAGCACGATCGGGTCACTTTCCCCGACCAACACGTTATCTTCTATAGGTATGTCCATTCCGTGATACTGTTCTGGGTACGCTTTATTACGAGGAACGTATATTCCTGGCTCTATAACACAATTATTTAAAAGTTCATGTAAATAAATAAAAACCAGATAAGTGATCAGGTGAAAATAAATTAATAAATAAATAAATATCAATAGTAATGACCATTCAATATTTTTGAATGATCAATTTCATGTGTGTCATGAACATTCAATCTGAGATAATGTCCAACATGGTGTGGGCACAAGACACAATCAACATCCTTTATTGATAAATAATATAATAAATATATGTTATGTTGTATCACATCTGATAAGATAAGATTGAATTATGATAAGATTAGATTTAATTAACTTAAATAATTAAATAATTGCATTAATTAATAAATAAATAAATAAATAAATAAAATGAATATTGATATTTAGTAAACATAAATATAATCTTATCAGATGTGATGATAATGAAGTTAAATCAATCACTTACCTCAGATGAAATTTCATTTAATAAATAAACAAAATGTATATTAGTATTAGTAAATATAAATAAATAAATTATAATTTCATCATTATTAACATTTTTACCCCTTCGACAAGATCAAATCCGAGTGGAGATAATTCCTCCTTCATCATTTTGACAGAATATTCATGTATACCATTCAAGAAAATGTTTTGTTCTTCTGTACAAAGCTAGTTATTAGTCGTGTGTCATCCCTGAGGTTGCTTTTCTATATGTGAAAATAAATTCGAAATTCGTGTCACATGAAGGTTTTTTAAAATATCTCGTTATTTTATAATAAACTCGAACTTCGTTGTTAGAGTAAAATAAAATTACTCTATTAAAGCTTTCTAATGAATACCCTTTCATATTGAAAGGTCTTCTTTACATGAATTAATGGCTATTCAAAAACGGCATTACCTTTTCACTTCAAAGCTCAGATTATTTCTCAATATCGTTTTAAAAGACTTGATAGTAAATGAGAAGGTGTAGAATACTTTAAGCTTTCATATGATTATTACTTTATTGGGATATTGGTTAATAAATTTAGAGAGGTTCACAAAAAACTATTTTATAGAAATTTAATAATCTTGAAGAATTTTACGATGGGATTCAGCAAAAACTAAAGGTATTTTAGATTAAAGTTAAATAATAAATAAATGTACAAATTGTTTTTAATACTCGTTTCGATCAAACCCGCATATATAATTATTGAATAATTGATAAACATTCGTTTTACAAGCTTCATACAGTACCTGGACAAAAGTATCGGACACCTTAAATATATTAATTACATAAAAACGTACATAATAAGTATACAGAAAACTTATTTCAGTTTATAGCTTAGGTTTCAAAAATTATGTATATAGGATCTTGTGTTACTAAATTTTCTAGAACTCGAGCAATTAAAAATAAAAGAAATTCGATCATTTTTGCAAAAAATCCTGATGATGAAATTTTTTGACAATTTCTCTAAAAACTATATAAATATCATGTTTTGAAATTTTTATATATGATAATTTAAGATCTGATTCTCAAGATATATTTTTTTGTTTAAAAATTTTTTTGACGAATTTTTGAAATTTTTGAAAATTTTAAAAAATTAAAAATTTGATAAAATGTCAAATTTAACTGATAGAAACAAATGAAATAAAACTTCAAAAAAATTGGCCAAGTTAATCTCCTGACCTGGATCCAATTGAATATCTATGGAAAGAGTTGGAAATGAGAATCCGTAAAAGATTTAATAATTTTATAAATAAAAATGAACTCGAGGTTGCTTTGCACGAAGAATAGAAAAACATTCCTAAAATTTTTTATAAATTTCATGGAAAATACAGTCAAAGCCCTCTATAACGAACCCCCCTGGACTGAGAATTTTGGTTCGTTATAGAGAGCGTTCACTATAAAGAATTGTTGATCATCTCATTTCATGTTCACGTGATCGTGTTTTGAATAATTTATTGGCCAAGTAATAATAATTTTAAAATTTTTGTCAATAATAAAAAATTTCTTTTTTATGTTATATGGGATAGCATCACTTATTATATAAATTTGCATTTGGTTTCCTCAAAGACACTTTATTATACTGAATAGAGAATTTAATTATAAAGTTCGCTATAGAGAGCAGTTCGCTTCTCGGAGGTTCGTTATACCCTATAAAAAACTTGGTACGGAAAATTTATGGAAAGCCGTACTAGATGTGACATTTCCCTGAGGCTGCTTTTCTATATGTGAAAATAAATTCGAAATTCGTGTCACATGAAGTTTTTTTTAAA